CTATATCTGTTTCTATAAACTTTGTCTTGAAACGAGCTCTCATTTCAGAGATAATGTGGTTTAAAATCAGTGTATTTAATTATGCCGTTACTTGGCGCGTGCAAATTCTGAACCTTCATGACAGGGATTTAAAAAGCTTCTAAAATACACTTTATCGCTTCATATATCCGCATAAAATTTTTAAATCAATAAAGCACATCATAAAACTAATGTACGCTCATTTTCTAAGAAGTATTCATCGATTACCTGAAGGAAAAGTTTAAAATAGGTCAGGAGAGCAGTTTACAAAATGCCGTTCTCCTCTGAAATGGCTTCTTTTGCGGGAAGCCATTAAATTTATGTACTTTCCAAAATTGTAATTTAGTCGCTTTTTTGGTCTCATTGTTCACTTATTTATCATGGAATTACTTCGCTTGAGCTCTTTTAATAATACCTGCAAGATACTTTGCTATTTGGTGAAATAAAAGCTATATTTTTAGCAGTTTATCTTTTGAAAACTGCATGCGCAACAAAGTGTCACCAATGTGTTTACTCTCGTCTGACAAACAACCAAAGATGAAATACTTTATTTCACTCTTTTATAGCGATCTAAAATGCCTAAATATTAGATTATTCACTTTATTTGAGCATACATATTATATTTTTATACAATTGGTCCTTGAAAAGGACTTCTTTCAAGCTAGAGTCAGATTTCAAACTAGAGTCAGATTTCAAAAGAAAACGCCTGTCTGACATTTTACAGCAACCTACATTGGCGCGCACGATGTTCTAGCCACAAATCCGTTGTTTTCTCAACAGAAACAAAAGGAATTTCAGTTAAAATTCTTACCTGATGAATATTCAAAAGTGTTTATCTCTTTTTGACGACTTTCAGTGCTCTTAATAGCGAAATAAAAAGCCTTTTGTTTTGTCACGGCACGCTGCGTTTGAAAATGCCGGCTGTCAAAGTCAGAATTGAAAACACCTCAAATATTTTAAAATTTTCTCACCTTTTTCATCCTTTGTTTATATTTTAATTAGTAATTTTTGTACTTCGTGTTTTTCCAAACATATTTGAGCTATTTAAAAACTTCAAAGAGGTACAAACACTGTGTTTTTGGGTTACAGAGTTTTTGAACTTGAACAACAAGTTCTGAAGTTCAAGTTCTCCATTGTAAACTAGATGTCCTGAGTGTGCCTGAGCTATGCCCAAGCAAATTTTTATAGCGTTTCATTATTTTGTAATTTATACCATACAAGATGAAAACTAATTTGAAAATAAATGTGTACCAATCCAGGAATCAAAAAATATTTCTCCATTTATGTTGGGTTATTGAATTATTGCCCTTCAGATGTTGGGTGTCATGAAGAAGCAAAATGTCAGAGACTTAAATTTACACAAACCAAGAATTCTCACCCAAAAATCTAATGATATATTTAAGTGTGGGAGCTCATTTAAAGTAGAATTGATTAATCATTTATCATTTTAACCCACTACAAAATTTCAAGGTTTTTTATAACATTGATCTTGAGATACGGGTATTTTTGTAAAAGCAGTTGACAGAAGTTGACAGTAACTAAAATCGCCATTTTCCTTTCAACTTGGGGAGTGCCAATGTTGCAACAGTCTGCAACTTAATGAGTTAATGTAAATGGGCTTAAATTCTGTGCCCTTTTGGACTCTGGAGCAAGTCATTCCTATATGTCATCCAAGTTTGTGAGTCTTGTTAAACCTGAGCAGAAAACGTCAAGTGTGCGACAGATTGCTATGCTAATGGGAGTAACGACGAAGAAATTGAAAACTTATGATGTTGACATTCATTTGGTGAATGGTGATTTTAGTATTCATGCTATGGTTACTAACATTGCAAAACCTGATCTCCTCACCTTAGATAACCCCCATTATGACGAAGTGATTGAACAGCATTCACATTTACAGAGTGTGAGTATGGATGATACAGATAAGGCTCAATTACCAGTCCACAATAGTATTGGGAGCTAACGATTTCGCTAGGATTCGAACTGGTGAATGTCTTTGTGTGGGTCAGCATGGTGATCCAGTCGCAGAACACACAACTTTCGGTTGGACTCTGATGTCTCCAGGAGCCAACAGTGGTATGTCTCAAGCCTACTTGGCAGTCAACTCGTCCACAGATTTTGAATGCCTTTGTGTGTTAGACGTTGTAGATCTGCCAGATAATCCTGCTGGTGACCAAGGTGATGTATATTCTGAGTTTATGGAACAGCTCACGAGATTGACCGAGGGATGGTATGAGACAGCTCTTCCTTGGAAGGGCAATCATCCTGAGTTACCAAACAATTATGATGGAAACATACATCTCTTGAATTCATTAACCTGCAAGTTGCGTCAATCCAATATGTTACAAGACTATGACCGCATCATTCAAGACCAGTTAGGAAACAGAATTGTTGAGATTGCAGCTGAACTTTCAAGTGACAAGGAGTTCTACATCCCTCACCGTCCTGTTGTGAAAGAGACTTCCGAAACGACCAAACTGCATATAGTCTATGATGCGTCAGCTCGTACTCGGCCCGAAGCACCATCCCTCAACGAATGCCTATGTGCAGTCCTCCACTCCAACACCAATTATGGAGTGTATCAGTGAGAAATCAGCTACATCCAGTCACCTTGGCAGGCAACTTACGTCAAGCCTTCCTTCAAATCAGAATCCAGGAATCAGAACGGGATGCCCTACGTTTTCATTGGTTGGTGGATTTGGGCTAAACTGAAGTAGCTACCCTACGTTTCACTTGAGCACTATTCGGGTTATCACTCTCTCCTTTCCTCCTGAACAGTGTTATCAAACAGCATTTGGAACTGTGGCGTTATCAGACATTGTTGATAAGTCTCAAAGAGCATGTATGTTGACGATTTCATTTCCGGTGCCTCCTCTGTTGCTATGCAAAAAAGCTTAAAAGTGAAACATCCCAAATTTTGAAGACGCTCAGTTTGATCTACACAAGTGGAACTCTAACATGGAAGAGCTAGAGCATCACAATCATAGTGACAGTGAAGAGTCATTTGCAAAACAACAACTGGGACCACTTGCTCACGGTGTGGAAAGTAAGCTGTTAGGTCTTCCATGGAACAAGAGAGAAGACACCTTATCTGTTACTCACCTTATCTGTTACTTTCCCTAGTAAATCAAGTGACATGACAAAGCGTGGGATCTTGTCAGCATTAGCGAATGTGTATGATCCGTTGGGGTTTAGTATCGCCAACCATGTTAGAAGGCAAGTTGGCCTACCGTGAAGCTTGGAAGCAAAGCACTGCATGGGATGCTACCTTGCCAACTGAAGTTACAGAGCTTTGGATGAAGTTCAAAAGTAAGCCGCCAAATTCCGTTTCAACGCAACGATCCCTTGCTACATTCCAAGAGCCACTAGACGAAGTAAAAATCCACATGTTTGGTGATGCTAGTGGAAAGGGAGTCAGTGCCTCAGTGTATGCAGTGGTTTCACAAAGATCTGGTACAATGCAAGGTTTTTGACAGCCAAGTCTTGTGTTGTGAAACAGGGACTCACTATTCCACGCCTTGAACTCATTGTGGGTCATATGGTTGTGAATCTTGCTGTAAACGTATGTTGTTCCTTAGCTGGCCTTCCTATCGACCCCATGATCCACTGCTGGTTGGACAGTACAGTGGCGTTACATTGGATAAATAATCAAGGTGATTATCGACAATTTGTCGCGAATTGTGTTAGCAAGATACGGAATCATCCTGATGTTACAGATGTCTACGGAAGGAAGAGCTTGCTGAAATTATTATTGCTTACGAAGAGCATTGAAGGAGGGTAACCATAACTAATTCATTAATTACAGCTTGTTCTCATTCGTTTGTGTACTGATATTTAAATAATTGTGAAGCTGTTTATTTTAAAATATTGTCACCCTCGTATCTTTCAATTATTTTTTAGATTCATCATGATGGTAATGGTGGCGGTGATATTGTTGGCGCTCCTGGTCATTATGATGGTGGTCGTGCTGCTGGTCTTCGTTGTGTTTGTCGTGCTTGTCTCCCACATATTGTCGTTGATGCTGCCGGGCTTGGCAGATACATTCTGGACGTTTTTGGACGTCGTGATGTTAATGATGGTGGTGGCGGTAATGATGATGCATTGCATCTGTCGACCATTCGTTGATAAATCGACTATTTGCACCATTTTTACGGCTTTAGCAAGTGCCCTTGGACAAGTCAGATTATATTGGTGTCATTATAGCTTAAAGGATTATAATAGACTAGATGATCTGGAAAGTGTTTACAATCCGTCTTATATTTAAACCATCCTTTTATAATCCTTGCTCTTTTTGTCTGATTCTTATCAGAAATCTACCAAACCAGGAAATTTTATCACTATTTGTTGCATTTGAAAATGTAAACTAAATCTAAACAATAATGCCTGACCCTGACACTAATCCTTTAAGGTGGCTGAAGACAGTTCTTTGAAACTGTATCCAGCCACTGAAGTGATTAAATAACTAGATATAGCTACAACCCTGGACCTGTTAAAGTCAAACCGCTATGATTAGAAAAAAACATTTCGATTCTCAGAAAGTAGCAGAATGTTGACAAAAGGTGAACTGGCCCACATCATTTTGTCCTATGAGGAAGAAGCCCAGAGGGTAAGGATAATGAATTCATTATTTAAAGCACATTCTTATTCTGTTGTGTACTGAGAACTTAGACATTTAAATAACTGTGAAGATATTCATTAAAATCCAGTTGTTAAAATCTTACCAATTAAAGCTTGACGGAATAACGAAAAAGAGTATGAGTAAAAGCACATAACTTAATATTAATTGAGTTTCTTTATTAGGTGCTAATTTGTAGTTTTCAATTATTTTAGGTTTATCGTGACGGTGGTGAAAATAATGATGGTAATGAAACCATTCTTAAAAAAGAAGTGATTTGTGGATGAAGTACAACTGATTTCTTTTGAATTTTTATCATGAATTATTAATGAGTTTCACAAAGTATGAAATGTCTACATGTTTTTCTTGCACTAGAACTAAAGATGGAACTTCAAGTCACACAAACACCGCCATTGCACAGAGTGATGCAGATATGTCAACATCCTCTGTAGCGGATATTTCAGTCTTACAAGAGATTTGTCCAAATGCAAATCCTCATCAAATATTGATTTCTTAATGGCAAAATAACGGGAATTTTGACCTAACTGCACAAGATATCTTGGGCATTCTCTCTGAACCAATTGACAGTACAGTAGAATAACAACGTTATAAAGATTTATACTTTAATTCATATAAAAATGGAGTGTCTTAAACACTTTATAATAAGAAAAATGTAGCAAGAAGTATGGTATCGGTAGTAGCAGTACATAGCACAGGAGGCCCAGGCTCTATTTGCCTGCGCCTGCTTGTGCCTTCCTTATAACAAAAAACATTAAGACCAAAATATTGAGACCAAAATAGCCCAGACTTGGCATATGTCACACAAAACTATACTTGCTTTTTCGCCTTTAGTGCATTTCTTTCAAGATTAATCGATATCCCTTGCAAGAATGATACTGTATAACTCTCGATACAACGACGCTTTAATCAAAGAGCTTAAAATTTGCTCTAAAATCCATGAGGGAATAACAAAATTCAACTAAAATATATCCACGTGCCAGGTTTGTTGTGCAAAAAGCGGAAGTTGTTGAACAACTCAAAATACACTCAACCCTGATTGGACAACGAATATCAACAAAATTTCAATTTTTTCTGCAGTGAGAGGGGGACAGTACCACAGAGACATACAGAGACGTAACTGACCATTGTAAACACTGCATGACATTATGTTATAATGTACCCACTTTTTTCAGGTGATTGGGCGAAAAATGGTCAACTGCGCATGTTCGGCAAGTTTAAAGGGAGTCGTCATCAGGTTGTCATCCAATCAGATGCATGCATCTAGTAACTTGCCGAGCATGCGCACAAAAAAAAAGGAGTGGGTACACTAGTTATGTCTCTGTATGTATCTACTCTGTGACAGTACTTTAATAAATTATTTGAATCAAAACAACTCACATTTCGTATTCTTCAGACAACTTTGACACTTTGATTGTAAATTGAAGATTTAAATATGGATGTAAGCAACATTTTGGAAGTGGCTATCTAAAAATAAGTATAAACATCATCCCAAGGTTATCTTTATTGGATCATCACATAATTTAAACAATAAAGTCAAGGACAATTATGTTTTCCTTTTTTGGATAATTGCGGTAAAGTACTCACTCCATGCAAGATAAACTAGTGCCAAAATCCAAGGTATTTAACCCATTGAGTTGCATTGCACCCTGATACACCCTACTTTAGTATTTTACTCTGTCTAACGCCACACGATTTTACTCGTCAAGGGGAGAGCGCTGGCGCTTAATGGGTTAATTAATAATATCGCGCAGACATCTTGCAACTTTTGAATACTGCTTGCGTCTGTCGACCATTCCTTGATAAATCAACTATTCGAAAGTACTCGCACTATTTTATGGCTTTAGCAACTGCCCTTGGAAAAGTCAAATTTTTGGTGTCACTATAGCTTAAGGTGGCTCAAAACAGTTTTTTTTAAAAACTGGATCAAGCCACCTAAAGTTATTAAATAGCTACTTATATATGGTTATAACCCTGGACCTGTTAAAAAGTCAAACCGCTATAATTAGAAGAAAAAACATTTTGATCTAGGATTTTCAATAATTTTATTAACAATTAATTTTGCAGTTGGAGAAATAAACAGATGTCTACAGAAGGAAGAGCTTGCTGAAATTATTATTGCTTACAAAGAACATTGAAGGAGGGTAAGGATAACTAATTCATTAATTACAGCTTGTTCTCATTCGTTTGTGCACTGATAGATATTTAAATAATTGTGAAGCTGTTTATTTTAAAATATTGTCACCCTCGTATCTTTCAATTATTTTTTAGATTCATGGTAATGGTGGTGTTGATGGTGGTGGAGGCAGTGGTGCCAGTGATATTGTTGGCACTCCTGGTCGTTATGATGGTGGTCGTGCTGCTGATCCTCTTTGTCGTGTTTGTCCCCCTCGTATTGTTGTTGATGCTGCCGGTCTTGGCAGAAACATTCTGGATGTTTTTGGACGTTGTGATGACGGTGGTGGTGGTGGTGATGATGCGTATCCCTAAATATTGTTCCCTTTACAATGTCATGATAGCAGCAATTTTGCATGATTTACACTTTCCTGCACACATCACTTCGATTGGGTTAAACCACAAGATTATGCAGATGTTAAATCTTGCGGGAAATTAAATTGAATTATGAAATGTGTGATAGGACAAAGTATAAGTGGTTTCCTGTGATGTATGCATGTATTAAAACAGCATGTTAGGAACACATGTAAATGAAGTATGCCATTCCTATTTGAAAAGGAACAGCAATTCAAAGGGAACAAATTGTTCCGCTTCACTTATGTTCTGAAAATCGTAACGGTTTGAATGAGGAACAATATTAATTGTTCCTTATTTAGGAACAAAATGTTCCGCGCAGCCGAATCCTTAAACAAATATAGCTTTTGAAGTGGAACTATTTGTTCCTTTTTGTTGTTCCCCTTTATTGTTCCCTTCTTAACGAAGCATATTAATTAACAATAAATTTTACACAATGCAATGCTGTGAGCCATTATAAGCAAATATTATTAATGCATTGTGCAGACAAAGTGTTTACTATAAAAGACCAAGCTAATTACTCGCTGGGGCACCCTGTGCCCCAGACGAGTATAGGTTTCGGCTTGCACCTTTCACGGATCGGCAATAGTGGATCAACAGGTGGGAAATTTGTCTGAGCATGCATGCGCAAGCAAAATGAGTCACGCAATTGAGTGGAATACACGCAATGCGTGTTTACAGAAAGGCACAATCGTGTAAATATTGCCAAATGTTTGTACAAAATAAATTACTGTTTTATGTTGAAAATGGACATGATCTAAATTAATCATACAGAGTTTTTTAGTGACGTTCTATTTCAGTACCCTCCCATTGTCTCTGGTGGGCTGTCCGTTTGCATTCGATCTGAAACAGTTGCTACTTTGCTGTCGAAAAATTTCGAATGTGTACATGAAAATAGAGGCAAGTCATGCATTTTACAACCTCGTAAACTGTATGAGCCCCTATTTTTACGCTTATACCCAAGATATCAAATAAAAATACATGAAACAGAGAACATTTTTAGAAAGTTTTATCATGAGGCCACGGCCAGTTTTTAAAATATCTTTATTTCTGTTCCGGTCATCACCAAAATTACACTAAAGTCGGGCTTGAATATACAACAAATTTTGAATCTTATCAAGTACAAAAATATTTAACGTGTAACCAAAATATGCTCATGAAATCGAAATTAATAGCTAAATTTTCAAACTAGACCCTTCGAGCCGGGTTTCATGAAGGAAGTTCACATTTCGACCTTTGATTCTTGTCAAAAATTTGACCACAACACGTGCAAAGCAACTGGGTCTCAAAGACTCAGCTAAAACATTGTGAGCCCCTATTTTCCTGACGATATGTTTGACACCTACAAATGCCGAAAACTTTTTTCTTTTCATTTAGCTATATTTGAAATTGAGGCCACGGGCTATTTTTGAGAAAATACAGTTCAAATTCAAGCTATTTTTACATATTTTCAAAATTTATCAAATTTCGCGAGCTTGTATTTTGAACTTAGACAGCTGAAGTTACATTAAGAAACATAGGATGGAAAATGTGAGGCATATAAAGTTAATTTCGACTTACATTTCATTCTCATATCACGTCTTTCTTCGTTTATTATGGTTTTAAACAAGCCACAGATCGACGTATACAGTATTTACTCCCATGTTCACGTCGCCATATTAACTTCTTCCAATCACTCGATTACAAAACAAATCATCCCAAAACAAAGAATTCATAGTGGACTTTTAAAAGAATAACCGTTAATTTGTAAATCGTTGAGCGGAAAGCAAAAAATCGTCAGCTAAAGCAGCTTCTTGCTAATTTTCTGCTTTGTCTTGAATGTAAATGCAATGATTTTTTGGTCAGCGACGACAAATTTCCCACCTGTTTAGTGGATCTCCATTCTTCGTCAATAGCCACAAAATAGAATATTAATGAGCTGCTTGATCCTTCAAAATGGCGGGGACTTTCGTGGAGTGGGCAAAATGTTTTCAACAATTTTGTGAAATTTTTTAACCAATTGTACCTGTTTTCTATGGATTTTGGATTGTGTGTAACTGTGGACATTCCTGCTAGTTTATTTAATGCGTTTTTCTTGGTGCACGGCTCTGAAAATCCGAAATTTGGATCGTGGAATTCCCGTGCACGATCATAATATACTGAATCTGAATATAAACGAGCCAAAGACAATTTCAAGGTAAAAGGTTATAACTTAAACTGCACAGCGTAGTTTTAATAAATAACTACTTTATGAGAAGCATATTGGTGTCATATCAATATGAATTTTATCGAACAACAGTCCGTGAAAACTGCAGTGTACTCAGTGACAGTGTGAAATATGATATTGTATTTGTATAAATGCCTATTAATGGCGCAATAAGGATAAAAATACCACCGTTCGATTCAGCGTAAGAAATTGTACTTACGGATGCCAAATGTATTACTAAACACCAGTATTCTAAAATATGAGAGCATATATAGTCATGAGATTGGACTTCCCAAAAACCAAGTACATGCACCTAGAAATGGTGGCTATAAAATAAATTTAATTGCCATTCTGCTATTCTTTTTAATTATTGTTTTACTATGAAATTAAATAGAAAATTGTTTATTATTCACATGTAGGGTAATTACCCAGACAGCTAGCATAACACTTCAGAGTTCTATGGTACACCTATGAATATAAGCCCTGCATGGCCTTATACAGTATAATATGCATATAATGTATACATTTAATCAAGTTGGTGTAATTATTGTCACTCATCTGAGCTGTTGGAATCCCGGTCACTGCATTAACCCTTTAATTAAATGGCAATGCACCCAGATGCACCCTACTTTAAATTATTATTTTTTGCTAATGCCAGACGATTTTACTTGTCACAGGAGAGTGCTGGCACTCAATGGGTTAAATTAATGAGACTATCTGCCCTTGCACCCTGTTAACCGTTTAATTAATGCGCCCTACTTTATTCTTTTACTCAGAGTGTCTAACACCAGACAATTTTACTCGTCAGGGTGACAGTTCTCCCACTCGATAAGTCTGAAGCTCAATACAATGGTAAGAAGCAGAGGAGGAGTGAGGACTATACCGGCATGCAATGCGGTCAGCGCGGTTTTTTACATATCGATTTCTCGCTCTGCGCCGTCATTGTTTGGTCGGCTGCAGACCTCTCAACTCTCACGCATTCGGCGTGAGTCTCACGCAATTCGCTTCACTCTCACGCCACGTTTAGTAAATCTCACGCATATAGCAGTTTCATAGTATTTTTTCAATAATATAATATTGTATTCTTAAATGCACATTATTAATCATTATATGGATCGCGAGTCGAATATATAATTGCATGTTATTGTTCCTGCATATATATGGCCCGACATTTTGCCCGAAATTTGGATAGAAAATAGTACGCATATGTAAAAATGGCGGAGACAAAAGGCAGAATCAGTCCGAGCAGAAATTTAGAATTATATATGTAAAAAAACTTATATATGAACTTATATATGTAAACCATAGAAAGAAAAAACTTATATATGAATAAATTAAAATAATATTAAAGAACTTATATATGTAAACCATCAAAGGCAAATTAAAGCTCATTACTGTATGTCACAGAAATACAGTTATTGTAACTAAAATGCCTTGTCTTTTAAAGGACGTTATGAAGCAATGTATTTCATTAAAAAACACCAACTCTTATAATGTACGAAATGCCATTTCAGACGCCAGGACGTTTACAAAGGTGTCATCCACATCCCCAATCTCACTCTTAACTTCTCTGCAAAGTTGAGAGGTCTGCAGCTCTCGCTGTGTTTACACCTCGAGGATTCGAGTGATTCGGAAAAGTTTACCGGTATAGAAAAAAAAATTGTAAAATGGTGAATTCTTGCACTATTCGTGGAAAGAAAGCTTCGTTTTTGGGTGGACACGAGCTTCTGTTCAGTTCACTGTGTGTCAAAACAGCCTTTATTAATCTTGATTCCGGAAGGATTACCGTGTGATGAACTTGAAATGTCGTGAGGTTCATGTTTATATATTTTTACAGAATACAGATAGTTTGAAGAATAGTCCTTTGTCCAGCTGTGGTTAATTAACAGGATAAAAATTGATGAAATTGTTCCCTGATTGCGGTAATCCTGCACTGGTACAAATTCACTCTAGTTGTGTTTTTAAGGTAAGATGATTTATATAAAATAGAAATATAAAAATGCTCTCGTACTGTATAAATTATATAAAATACAGTCATCTATGATGTGATTGATATATTTTGCTTAAAATTGTTGTAATACAGCAGTATTAAACGTATTTTTATTTCATATCATGTAGTTCTTCGACCCTAATGATCCACAGGAAGGAGGTTGATATTTCAACATTACCAACATCCCACCATGTGACCCAGATAGTCAAGATGATGAGCTGGACAGTGTACTTCCACCAATAGAATTACACCAACCAACTGATTGTAATTGTTTTATTTAACCAATAAATCCTGTTTGCCCTGATGGACATTCATACACACCGAATGATGGAAGAAGCACCCAGTGGTAGCAGTGTTGATGGTGAAACTGAAGGAGGGGCAGTGAATGTAGAGAATGAAATGGAGGAAATTCAGCACTATCACAACACTATATATATATGTATTCACTACTGTGTGATGGCATTGCAAGGATTTATACTGATCAACCAGTTATCTATGCTCAAATGATCAACCAGTTGTCTATTATGTTACTCCGCCTAACACCAGATTATTTTACTGTCCAACACTAGACTTGTTACTCATCAGGGGGAGAGTGCTGCCACTCAATGGGTTAAAAAAACATTCAAACAAAATGTTTGGCAGAAGATGCAAAATTGTTTATTGGTGTCTGGTGTGATACTGATATTTCTTTTATCTGTAAGGATAGACCTGGGGAGTTTCTAGTGGTACAGTCTTGTTTTCCTGTACTGCATGTGTTTTCCTCACTTCCCTGATTCTATCATAAGT